GAGATCGTGGCGTGCATGCCATGTAGGCCAGATCTGGGCTTGAGAGAGAGGTGGCAGAGCTGGTTCAGACATTGAAGCAGCCTAACAGTCTCATTCCAGGCAGAGGCATAGCCTTACCTCCAGTCGCACAGTGCAAGTGGTGTGAAAGTTCGAACCATTTGGTGGAAGAATGCCAGGCTATGAGGGAATCCACCACCCCCCCCCCCCCAGGAGCAGCTGGACTTCATCGCCAATGCTCGTCGCCTTGACCCTTATAGTGGTACTTATAATGAGGGATGGCGTCAGCATCCCAACTTCTCATCGAATGGCAAAAACAACAACACCATCAAGTCTCCCGGATCCCCAGCACCAGCAGGTGGCTTTCAGCAAAGGCAGCCTTTCCAGACCCGACAGGGTCCATTTCCACAGCAGCAGCCTTATCAGCCCAGACAGGGGCAACCATTCCAGCAGTAGCAGCGACAATTTGCCCAGCTGGTAGCAGCCCCACCATAGCATAACTAGATGTCGGAGCTGAAAACCAAGGTGTAGGCATTCGTGAGCTCCAGCACAACGAATTTTTCCAGGTTGGACTAGTGCATCACCTCATTGGAGGCAGGCCAGAGGAACTAGGGTGCCATCTTGCAGGATCTTCAGAATTAAATTGGAAGAATAGCTCGCAACAATAGTACCAGCACTTCCAGCTGAAGATGAAGAGGTGGGGACAGAGAAGGAAGCCTCTGCTCCCAAGCCACAACCAGTGGTTAAGGAGCATGTTCCCCCACTTCCTTTCCCCACTCGTATGCACAAGGAAAAGCTGGAGACTGAGTTTGCCAAGTTCATGGCAATGTTGAAGCAGGTCAACATCAGCATGCCGTTCATGGAGGCACTGTTGAAGATGCCCAAGTACGCAAAATTCATGAAGGATCTCCTCACCAACAGAAAGAAACTTGGGGATCTCTCGACAGTGATGCTGAGCGAGGAGTGTTCTGCAATCCTACAGAACAAGCTTCCCGAGAAGTGCAAAGACCTAGGGAGTTTTACTATCCCTCTTGTTATTGGCATCATGCATGTAGGAAAGTCCTTGGCGGATCTAGGCGCTAGCATCAATGTCATACCTTATAAACTATTTAAGAAGCTAAGCCTAGGTGAACCTAGAACCACTAAGATGAGTATTCAGTTAGCTGATCGGTCGATTTTGCATCCTAGGGCTATCATAGAAGATTCGCTTGTTAATGTGGTTGCATTCAAATATCCTGTTGACTTTGTTATTCTGGATATAAATGAAGATGTGGATGTCCCTTTTATCTTGGGTTGACCCTTTCTCGCCACCGCCAAGGCGTTGATTGATGTGCATAGTGGCTAGTTGATTTTGCATGCTGGGGATGAATAAGCTACATTTTCTGTGTCTGACAATGCGCAACATACTCATATGCATGATGACTTGGAATACTGTGGCATGCTTGCTGATTTTGGAACCGCACTCGCCATTATGAGTGCGGGTACTGACGATGCCCTTGAGTGTTGTATTTTGCTAGGTGAGCAGGCATAGCAGGAGCTGCAGCTTGAGGAATAGTTGGCAGCGCTAGAGCGTGGCGAGTTTCTGGAGGTCGAGAAACCGTTCAAGCTGATCTCATCCTCGACTTGCATCACCACCTCTCTGGAGGAGCCCCCTCCCCCCTCACTTGGAGTATGCATTTCTACAAGGAGGGAACAAGCTTCTAGTCATCCTTAGCTCGACCCTCACACCCGAGCAAAAGACCAGACTGGTGTCCCTGTTAAAGCAGTACGAGCGAGCTCTGGCGTGAAAGATCACTGATATCCTTGGGATCAGCCCTTCCTTCTGTTCCCACCGGATATTGCTAGAGGATGATATTTGGCCGGTGAGACAGCTCAGCGGAGATTGACACCGAACCTGGAGGTTGTGGTTCGAGCGAAGATCATCAAGTTGATGGACGCGGGAATCATCTTTGCCATTTCTGACAGCGAGTGGGTCAGTCCCACTTAAGTGGTGCCTCAGAAGGGTGGGATGACTGTGGTGCCAAATGAGAAGAATGAGCTCATCCCGATGCGCACGGTGACCGGGTACCGCGTTTGCATCGACTATCGCCACCTCAACGATGCCACCCAAAAGGATCACTTCCCTCTGCCGTTCATTGACTAGATGCTAGAGAGGTTGGTGGGGCACGAGTTCTACTGCTTCCTGGATGGGATGTTCGGGTATTTTTAGATTCCCATAGCACCGGAAGACCAGGCGAAAACTACGTTCACCTATCCTTTCGGCATATTTGCTTACCGGAGGATTCCATTTGGGCTTTGCAACGCCCCAACCACTTTCCAGTGGTGTATGCTCGCCGTCTTCGATCTCTTGGTCGGAGAAATCATGGAGGTGTTCATGGATGATTTTTCGATTTATGGAGATTCATTCTCTCAGTGTCTCCATAACCTGGAACTCGTCCTGCAGAGGTGTGAGAAGACAAACCTGACACTGAGTTGGGAGAAGTGCCACTTCATGGTTCGCGAAGGCATAGTTCTGGGGCATAAGATCTCCAAGATGGGGATAAAGGTGGACAGAGCCAAGATCGAGACAATCAGCAAGCTACCTCCTACATCTATAAAGGGGATTCGCAGCTTCTAGGGTCATGCAAGGTTCTACAGGAAGTTCATAAAAGACTTCTCGAAGATCGCCTTGCCCCTGACTAAGCTCCTTGAGAAGGCTGCCCCCTTCTAGTTCAGTGGCACCTGCACCGCAGCATTCACGACCTTGAAGGAGAAGCTCACTCATGCTCCTATAATAGTCACTTCTTATTGGACCTTACCGTTCGAGCTGATGTGCGACGCCAATGATTTTGCAGTTGGAGCTTTTCTGGGACAGAGGCGAGACCAACATTTTCGGCCTATCTAATACGCCTCGAAGACCCTCAACGACGCCCAGGAGAACTACACCACCACCAAGAAGGAGCTATTAGTGGTGGTGTTCGCCTCTGACAAGTTTTGCCCTTATCTAGTCTTGTCCCGTGTGATAGTGTACACAGATCACTCCGCAATACGATACCTAATGAGCAAGGTCGACGCCAAGCCTCGGCTCATACGATAGATCTTATTACTGCAGGACGAGTTTGACATTGTGATCCGAGACAAGAAAGGAGCCGAAAATGTTGCGGTTGATCATCTCTCCAGGTTGGACGCACCTCCTGCGGACAACTTCAAGGAGGAGATCAACGAATCCTTTCCAGATGAGCAGCTGATGATGATGTGCCTCGTAGAGAGTGTCACCCCCTGGTTCTCTGATTTTGCCAACTATTTGGTTGGTCACCAGCTGCCCAAGGGGATGAAGACTCATGCGAAGAGGAAGTTTTTCTCTTATCTGAAGCACTATATCTGGGATGACCCGTATCTATTCAGGATCAGAGCCGACGGGGTCATTCGGCGTTGTGTTATGGACAATGTGATGGATGGCATTCTGTCTCATTGCCATGAAGGACCTATTGGCGGGCACAATGGCGGTAACCGCACAGTGAGGAAGGTACTGCAGTCGGGCTTCTACTGCCCCTCACTCTTCAAGGATCCCGACACCTTCGCACGCAGGTGCGACCGATGCCAGAGGTCAGGTAACATCTCTGCCCATGATGAGATGCCCCATAATGTGTTTATTACTTGTGAGATTTTTGATTTCTGGGGCATCGACTTCATGGGCCCATTTCATCCATAATTTAGTAATGTCTACATCCTAGTTGCTGTTGATTACGTCACTAGGTGGGTTGAAGCGCAGGCTTTGCCCACCAATGATGCTATATGTGTTTGTCAGTTTCTGAAGAAGCTGTTTTCCCGATTCAGGACACCTAGAGCCATCATTAGCGATCGAGGCACCCATTTTCAAGGCCAATTCGATAAACTCCTCTCTCCCTATGGTGTCACTCATAAGATGTTCATGGCCTACCACCCCCAAACGAGTGAACAGGTCGAGCTAACGAATCGCGAGCTTAAGCGCATAATTTAGAAAACGGTGGATCAATCTCGTAAGGATTGGTCCACCAATCTCGATGATGCTCTCTGGGCATACCAGATTGCCTACAAGACGCCGTTTGGTACTTCGTCGTACCGGCTTGTCTATGGAATGGCATGTCACTTGCCTATTGAGCTAGAGCACAGGGCCTTCTAGGCCCTTAAGCCGCTAAATTTGGATGTGAGTTTTGCAGGTGTTGAACGCAAGATGCAGCTGCTGGAGCTGGAGGAATGGCGTTTCCACGATTATGAGAACACTAAGTTGTACAAGGGGCGAACGAAGCGTCTTCACGACGCTCGATTGAGGGGCCCGAAGGAATTGTAGGTTGGCGATCGAGTTCTTCTCTATAACTCTCGCCTGAAAACCTTTCCTGGAAAGCTACGCTCCCGGTGGTCTGAACCGTTCACTGTCACACAAGTGTTTCTGTATGACACTATCGAGATTGCCAACCCGCAGACTAAGCCGTTCAAGGTAAACAAGCATCGCCTCAAGCTGTATCTGGGAGGCGATGTCGAAAGTGTGGAGTTGGTAATTGATCTCGCGGACCCTTAGTTCTGCCAGAGGCGTTCAGCTAAAAGACGGTAAAGAAGTGCTTGTGGGGAGGCAACCCCACCTCGGTTTGTATTTCTATACTTTTTCTTTCTTTGTTTTTGTGCGTCGAACATGGAGTTTTGTGGTCGATTATTTTGTGTTGTGGTGTCGTTCTGGTGAAATTTTGGCCTCGGGGGGCCTGAGGGGTGCTTTTCTGTGTTTGGGGACGTTTTTGTTGCTATGGACGGAGACAGGCAGAAGCTCTCTAGAAGTTACAGCCTGAGGCCTCAAGTTACGGGCTCGAGAGGCTGTTTTCCCCTAGTTACGGGCTCGAGGGGCAAGTTACGGGCTTGCCCGTAACTCTCTCCCTCGCCCGTAACTCTCCCGTCTCAGGACGATCAAGGAGTTACGGCCCGCGACGGTCGTAACTCGCCAGATCATCCCGTAACTTGCTGACTCGTTTCGAGTTAACGAGTTACCGCTCGAGTTAAGGTCTCAACTCGCCCGATGAAGCCGTAACTTGGCTTTGTCTATTTAAGGGCGACTTACGCCCGTCACTCTGCACCAGCTGACAGAAATTTCCCCGTCGTCGAGCTTCCAATGCCGCCGAGCCTTCAAACACTCCTCTCCACCGCTCCCGACGTCCGATCGCGGAGTCGTTTGCGGCGTTGGACTCCTCTTGTCGAGGCGCACCGACCGACATCCTCTTCTTCGCCGTCGCTGCCATTCTGTATTCGTCGGAGATCGTCTCCAACGATGCCCGACATGATTTTTTGGCATTCTAAGTGTGCTCGACCTTCTCCCTCATTCTCCCCTCGCTCCACTGTCCTCCTTGTGTCTCCAAGTTGGTCTTTTTGCCCTTAACTTTGTGTTGGAGAATCAGATTGTGGAGTGTAGGGTAGTTGAACCAGTTTTACAGGTTTAGATTCTTAGGTGGGAGAATGGTTGACTGTGTAATGTGTTTGGCCATGTTAGAACCTCGTCACTTGCCCCATTTTGTAGTGATTAGTGCTTAAGTGTGGGGGGGGGGGACGATGGACTAGTGGATCCATTTCCCCCGATTATTGTGGTTACTAACAAGTTTCGAGTCTGTGGTTGTCTATTTTGCAGGAAAATGTTTAATTTGGAACATGACTATCTGCAGGGGCCTGTGGTATACCGAGGCCTACGATGCGGCGTTCGCCAAGGTGCAGGCGCCCACGATTGGGAGTCACTACACTCTCAATCTCGACAACTTTGACTAGTTCCTGTGCCGCGACGCCATCGTAGCGGCCATTCCTCACCTGCAGTGGTGCCGCTTGCTGGGGCTCTAGGACGAATGGTGCACGGAGCTGATCCTGGATTTCTACAGCACCTTCACCCACACTCGGAAGAAGATGACATATCATGAGGGTGCGGTCAGATTCCGACTCGGCGGTCACAACCACAGTCTGAGATATGTCGAGTTCACCACCGCCTTGGGCCTGGACTCCACCACCCTGCGCGAGGTCGAGCCCACCTTCCCACAGCCCGACTTCCAGTCCTTCTACGAGGGGATCTGCCTGCACCAGCACGCAGTTGTGCCCTACGCGCACAGCCGCACCAGGGCCAGTCAGCTTCAGGCCCCGTGGCGCTTCCTTCAAGCGCTACTTGCCCACTCCATCATTGCCAGCCAGGAGGCGTCCGGACAGGTGAGAAATCGACACATGTACACCCACATCTCCATGTCGCATCCAGGGGACGGTCTCAACCTAGGTTCCGTCCTGGCGATCTCCTTCTCTCGGGTGAGGAATCATTCAAAGGTCACCACCTTGCATAGTGGGGCCTTCATCACTCAGCTGGCGCGGTTCTTCGGAGTACCCCTGGATGGCTGCTCTTTTGTTGGGCGGGCCCGAGATTTCCCCGACGATACCCTGAGTTCCATGGGCATGATCCGGGTTGCGAGGACTGATCCGTGGACGCGATGGATCAAAGGTTTGCGTCCTGCAGAGTTCAATGAGGCAACCGCACCACCACCTCCTCTGGTCCAGTCTTACCCCGGCGACCAGAGTGTCGGGCCCTCCTCAGCCGCACCAGCCGGCAGCCACTGAGCCTCCATGAAGGCTCATTTCGATCGGATCAAGGGCACGGACGGGCAAAAGCAAAACACGGTCGTGCCCTTTACCGTGTTTTGTCCAGTATCAACTTTTTGAGATAGATTCAAGCCAAGAGAGATGGAATCTACATTTTGGAGCAAAAACAGAGTTTTAGAGAGAGAAAGTGCGAAGAACAAACCCTAGGAGTTATTTGGAGTGGATTTCTCACCATTGAAGCCCAAATTGCTTCCCTATGAGTGAAGATTGACATCCCAGAGCAGATTGTCCTCATTTTTATGAGTATGACTACTCTGATTTCTGTTTTCCTCTCTCTCTCTCTCTCTATGGAGTAGAACTTTCTCTCACTTGGGTATGAAGAACCCTAGTTCCATATGTTAGGAATCTTGATTGTAATTACGTTTGGATTGTGATATTGCTTGATTAAAATTGATTGAAGGATTTTGATTGAGTCAATTGAAGTCTGATCATCTTTTATTGATTTCTGCTGCAACCTGAGATAGATAGAATCTGATTAGGTTATTAGAGCTTCCTCAATCGGTAGTAGTGGTCGATTAACTGCTTTGTACTGGAATCTAATTCCAGTAGTGGAGTTCTATATTCATTACCTCAGCTTTCTATCCCGGAGAATACTAGTCGTCTGCCGGGTAGTTGACTGAGAGGGCTTGGTCAGCTTAAGAGATTCCAAGCTACTGTCGGATCTTCCGCAGTATAATCAGCAGTAAAGCAACCAAAAGTAATTACAACTGTGACCTAACTAAGGAGCTAAGGGGACTCATTCCCGAGTGACTCTTCCCTTGCTTTAGAAAACCGAACCATTTACTGCTTTCTTACTGCTTTTACTTAAATCAACAATCACTCGACTTAGGTTGCTACATAATAGATCTTCACGGAGTAGGCAGTAGATCTAGACCCCGGGTTGACAAATAGAGCTTGCCTGTTACTGCATTTCCAGACTACGATTACACTTGGTCGCAGTTTGGTGTTGTGTTTTAGCGTGTCAAGTTTTTGGTGCCGTTGCCAGGTACCCTCTAGGTTATTGGGGAAACGTGAAAGTTTGTTACTCTAGCTTTTTCTTTAATGCATTTTATCTCTTCCACCTGTGTGCCTTCACGGGTTGCTTTTGCTGATTGTGCACAGGTAGTGCATGACCCGTAGCCAGTCGGGAGATTTACTACCATTAGACCAAGAGCTTGAACGGAATTGTAGGACCTTCCCGAGGAGCAGACCATGGGATATTACTGGACCGCCAGAGCCGCGGACATGAGGTCGCCCATTCATCACCCTCATGTACCAGCGAATAACTTTGAGGTGAGCACCTATGTCATCATATTGATGCGCGGTTCGGTAGTATTCCGTGGCATGGTGGGGGAGTGCCCCCGATCACACCTGAGGCTATTCCACGAGCTCACCGACGCCTTCAAGGTGGGCACCGTCTACCATGCCCTCTTCGCGGAAGACAAACAGCTGATTGACTTGGTCTGTGGTGGGAATATGCTCACCAAAACACCGCCACAGCTGAATCAACTTTTTGAAGAGAGGGCAGAGCAGGGCTATGATTGGGGAACTGCGACGAGATCGAGACGAGCACCAGGGTGGGGTGTGCATGCTGTAGCCACCCAGTCATCTAATTTGGTGCAGGTGGTATCGAAATTGGTTTCAGCCATCGATCGCTTTGAGATGATTGCAGGTACAGGACAACAACAGGCGATGCACTGCCAGTGGTGTGAGAGCTCCCATCACACCGTAGTGGACTATCAGGCGATGAGGGAGTCGTCTACTCCCCAGGAGCAGGTGGACTTCATCGGCAATGCCAGACACTTCGACCCATACAACAACACTTACAACGAGGGGTGGCGCCAAGTATGTCAAGTTCATGGCAAAGCTGAAACAGGTAAACATAAGCATGCCCTTCGTGGAGGCATTATCGAAGATGCCCAAGTATGCCAAGTTCATGAAGGACCTCATCACCAAGAAGAGGAAGCTTGGGGAGCTGTCAACGGTGATGCTCAACGAGGAGTGTTCTGCCATCCTGCAGAGCAAACTACCAGAGAAGCGAAAAGACCCAGGGAGTTTTACTATCCCTTGCATGATTGGTAGTTTGCATATAGGGAAGTCCTTGGCGGATTTAGGCGCTAGCATATGTTATATCCCAAAAAGCATCGTTCCTTCGAGTACAACGTTAAATCGTTCAAGTGATTGATCTACCGTTCAAATTTCGGGGACGGAATTTTTATAAGGGTGGAGGAAATGTAACACCCCGAATTTTGGGTTATGGTTCGACCATAATACGTGATCGGTTGGATTGTCAGTTGCGTACTAAGGTTGTAATCGCGGATTAGTAGTAGTAGTAGTAATAATAATAATAATAATTATTATTATTATTATTATTCTATTTTATATATATATATATATATATATATATATATATATATATATATATATATATATATAAGCAAAACCCAACCTGGGGCCGAGCAGCCCCGCTAGTTTTTATTCTCCAGCCCGCCGTAACTTAACTTCCCCAAACCCTCTTCGTGCCCCAATTAAAATCCCCAAGACCCGACCCTACCAAATCCCCCTACAATTATTTCACCCCAGCCGCCTAGTTTTTTTTTCCAGAAACCGACCCTCTCTGCTATTTTCCCAAGCCCCGCGAGAGCAACCCCAAATCCCCGCCGCCACTGAATTTCCCCGGAGAAGAAGAATAAACCGCCAACACCTGTGACTGATCCCGATCCCTTTCGTGTTGCTAGCGGTGACATTTGAGGGTTCGATCAACGAGGAGATCAACGTCCCGGGTCATCCAACCTAGGCCTAGGCGCGTGCTAGACGTAAGGGAACTCGATCCCTTTGAGTTAGATCGATCGATTTGGGAATTTTTCGTGAGGGTGCAATTCAGAGGTTTTAGCAACAGACGTTCAAGCTTTTAGTGACAGGATTTGGGTATTCACTAAAGCTGCTAGGAATTTTCAGAAACATGTTTTAGATGGTTTAAATTGTTTTGAGTCTTTACGAGGGTTTGTTCCTAAGTTTTAAAATTTTATAAATTGAGGCAGGTCTAGGAGATGGCTGTAAATTAATTTGGGGATTTTTGAAGATGTAATTTTAATTTTAGAAATTGTTCGAAAATTTGTTTAATTAAATACAAATATTTCCGAGGATTTTTTAAGGATTTGATAATTTTACAGGGTATCAATACTCATGAGGGATGTAGGAAAATTATGATCCTAATTTTTAAGAAGGTTCAAGTTAGGTGGAAATTTTGTCCAAGACGAAAATAATTAGGATAAGTGGTCGGTTTTGAAGGGATTGTTTTTAGAAAATTTTTAAAGGGGATTAAGGGACCTTGGGAGCGAGTCTCGATGGCTGGATGTCGAGGAGAGGAGGTTCTAGTGACCCAAAAGGATATTCTAAATTGAGAAAGGTCGACTAAGGGGATGACTTTCTTATTAATAGGTTCACCGAGATAATTCGGCTAGGAGGGATTTCTTCGAGTAAGGAATCGAGGAGTCATCGTTACAAGGTGAGTGTAAAGGGGGTAAATTCTATGCCTTACATGTTCTTTCAAGAGTTACAAGTCTTGAGTATTTTGATGAAGTGAATGTCGTTGTTTGATTGTGCTTATGGTTGATGATATGTGACTCTGCCTGAT